GTAAAGACTGCCTACTGTCCCTCCAAAACCATCCTTTCCTTTTTCCCTGGAAAAGGAAACTAAGTTTCCAGTCTCATTGTTGCCAGGCATGGTGATTTGACTAAGTTCTTAACAATGGAGTGAGATCTGAATTGATGTGGGTAATCACCACATTACTTTCCCAAAGGATTTCCCTGTTCTGGTCTTCTTTTCTTTCCCCTTCCCAAAAGAGGGAACATGCTTCTTTTCACATATAAAGTGGCAAAAATTCAAAAGTTTAACATCCTTTGTAGGCAAGGCTATAGAAATTTGCACTCCTATGTATTGCTGCTTGTAATGGTCCCATTCCTATAAAGTGCAATTTGGTAATATCTTTCAAGATTGTAAGTACATCTAAGCTTTGACTCTCTTCTTGAATGTATTCTACCTGTACACATATAAAATGATGTACATACAAGGTTATTCATTGCAGCATTGGTTGATTGATTAAAAACAACTTAAGTGTCTAGCTATACGGATTAAATGAACCATGGCATCCCTTCATTATATGGAATACTCTCCAGCTCTAAAAAATGAGGAAGCTCTCTGGACTTACATGGTAAAATCTTCAAGAAGAGAAAAAAATCAAGAGCAGAATGTGCTATCTTTTGCAAAAGCTAGAAAGGACAAAAAAATTGCAAATTCTACAAGGATACATAAGTAATGAATATAATTACATATCAAGGTAAGGTGATCATATAATTTGTCATCCAAATGGAACAGTTGGTAGAGTGAAAGGGCATGTTATTAATAATTACTCCAGAACAACAGATGGAAAATGGCACTGTCCTGGACAAACTGGGAGGTATGATCAACCTATATAAAGGGGGCAGAGTGGGAAGGGGAATGGGGACCTTTTTTATCGTACTTTACAAAAAGTACCGGTCTGTGGTGAATTGTAACCAAAAACAACTCGTTCTTTACCACGGGTAGTTAAGGGCTGCCTTAAAGAACAAGGAACGGTAAACCACAGACGTGAGACACGGAACTTGATGAAAATCCGGTAGTTTTGCGTATCGGGCATTTGTTGGGGTTGCACAAGCGACACAGCCTCTTGGAGTTCATCCGCCAATCCGAAGTGGGAGCGTGCGAGCCTGAGCCTGTGAGAGAAGCCCGGGCCGGCCTCGGACTTGAGGAGTGGAGCTTCGCGTCACTCAACCCTGGGGGGGGGGGGGCCTAACGCAGGCTCCCACTCTCGGCGGTCTGGCCCACACAGGCGCTACTCTGTGGCATCTCGGGTTCCCTCTAGCCGCACTCTGGAGGCCTACACTCGTTTTCTTTTGGCCGTGAGAGGCCTCGCAGCCTTCGCTGAGCTGGGAGAAAGATGGCGGCAGCCGTGCGACAGGATTTGGCCCAGCTCATGAATTCGAGCGGCTCTCATAAAGATCTGGCGGGCAAGTGAGTATTTCCCAGGGGCCTGGGAGGTGGAGAGTAAAGCCAGAGACTTGTTCTCCTTGGATTGACGGCGGCTTTCGGATGTGAGGCTAGGAGCGGGCCTGATGACCAAGGGGGCGGGCCTGAGGTCGGTTGTGTAGGCAAATGTTGGGAGCAGCAGAAAACTGGAAGGGACCTTGTGTAAGGAGCCCTCAGGACCGTAGATCTGGGGTGACTGTCAACGTTTGCAGTCCCTGATGGCATCCTTTCCTGTATCTTAAGATTCTAGAAGCGCGGTTTGTGGGACGACTGCTTCCATGGCCTTCTAAGCCTTCCCTGGTGCCCCTTCCCATCGCCTGCCGGCCTCTCACACTGAATCGTGGCCTCTCTTTGCCCCTGCTCCCCCCTTTTTTCGTTTTGGTTGAAGGGAAATTTATATTCTGGGACCTTGGTGTAGAGTTTTCTGGGGAGATGGCTTCTTGAGGCTGAGAGGGCTGAGGAGGTATGGCCGCTATCATGTCGTTCAGAGCCACTTGAACCATCTTCTGTGGGTTGTGTTTTGGGTACTCTCCGCCACCAACTCTGAAGAAGGGCACGTAGGCGGCATGTCACCATAACATGGGTCGGGATGTCTAGAGTAATGATGTTTGCAGGGATCTGGATTGTTTAGGAATTTGGTCGGAATTTATGTGGAAGGCTTAGGTGCACTCCAACTTAAAATTTGTGATATGTGCCTGCCCTGCAAGCGGTGTTAGTTACAGAAAGATGTCAGTTTTCTCTTTGTAGATTTCACAGCACTGTTTTTTGTTTTTTTGTTTTTTTTTTTGTAATGAACATGCATTCTATTTAAACTGTGCTTGTCAAGTTGATCCAATTTACATCCCGACGGCTGAGATCACTTTGATCCATTCAATAGGATACGACTGCTCTAACCTGGCCGCTGAAACCTTGACTTTGTTTTATGTTTTTGTCTGGTGGTAAATGTAATCTGCTTTATCAGTGGGAAATTTAGCTGTGTATCTTGGGCTTAACTACTTTGTGGGGCAATTTCCCTCTCAGGAAAATGGGATGATCATATATATCCTGTCTGAGGACAAAATGAGTATGTGTGTGTATATGCACTTATATCACACTTACATCACTTAGAACAGTACCTGACACTTAGAAACAGCCATAGGATTGTCGTTGTTACTATTATTATTAAGCAGTTAGTAAATACGTATGGACGTAATAATCCCTGGGTTGGAAATAAGTTGAATATGTCTTGTAGCTCAATCCGTTTTGCATGTAATTTTAATAGATTTGGATGAAAGTAAAACTAGCTTATATTTTTTTTTCCATGCCTGCTCTCCTTTTTGTTTTGGTGAAAAAAATAAGTGCATTAGGGCTTCCCTGGTGGCGCAGTGGTTGAGAGTCCGCCTGCTGATGCAGGGGACACGGGTTCGTACCCCGGTCCGGGAAAATCCCACATGCCGCGGAGCGGCTGGGCCCGTAAGCCATGGCCGCTGGGCCTGCGCGTCCGGAGCCTGTGCTCCGCAACGGGAGAGGCCACAACAGTGTACAGAAAAAAAAAAAAATGCCCGCGTACAGAAAAAAATGCCCGCGTACAGAAAAAAAAAAAAAAGTTTATTAGTTATCAGAAGAGATAAAGTTTTCATGTATTTGCGGGATTCTGAAACTTAAGCTAAGCATTTACTTCCTCTGCTCTGAATTGCAGATAAACAATAGTATCCACCTTATTGGGTGCTTTAGTTATTTACTGCTCTGTAAACAAATCAGAAACTTAGTGGTGTAAAACAACTATAATTTCTCAATATGCTTTGGGTCTACTGAGCTATTTTGCTGGTCTTGTCTGGGCCCACTCATACAAGTGCAGTCAACTGGCAGCTCAGCTGGGGTTGGTGGGGCTAAAATGGACTCACATACACATCTAGCTGTTGGCTGGGTCTCTCTCCACACTGCCTCTCATTCAGTAGTTTAGCTGAGGATTCCTTACAGGGCCTTGGGAGTGTTCCAAGAGGGTGAGAGTGGAAGCTGCGAGGTCTCTTAAAGCTACCCTTGGAAGTCTCACAACATCAGTTCTCAAATACTGGTCAAAGTAAGTCACATGACCAGGCCAGATTCAAGGGGAGGGGAAATGGAGTCTACCTCTTTATGGGAAGAGTGGCCAAGTTACACTGGATACCATTACTGTAACAATCTAGTACACAGGATTATTATGAAGATTAAATAAAATAAAATAATGTGCTTGATAACTGATAGCCAGTGCTTCCTGAGGAAAGTCTTGGCCTTGCCTGTGGGTACATATCTGGTCCTATCTGGGCAAGAACGTGTCATATTTATTTTCATAAGAAAACAGTTCTGCCAGCTACATGCTTTATGAGAGAAATACTCTTGGAACATATCAGTGGTTTTAGGCTTTATGTTAGGAGCTGAGTAACAAAGGATTCCATATTAAGAAATAATGGAGTAAATTCCTTTTTAAAATACTGATACTGTGTGTTACCAGCAATTTGCAGAATATTTATAACAGTAGTTATTCAATAAATATTGGTTGACTCAATGAATAGCTGAAAAGGTGCAGAGCATATATTTGAAACCAGGTTTGTCTACTCTAAAAAGCTCATTTTTAACCCATCAGACTACACTGCTTTTCTTGTCAAAACTTCAATTAGAAATGCTTTCCCATAACTATGAAATAACACAACAGTCTGAAATTGATGTAAGAAATTATCACATGAGAAGCATTTTTGCAAATTATATAGACTGCTTTTGTACATATTATGCATTGTGTTCGTTATCTCATATAAAGTTTTAGAAGAAGCGAAAAGCCTTGAGAGAGGGAGCATTTGTTGTGATAGCTTATCTTATTCACTTGGCTAAAACCTGTGTGATTCTTCAAAATTCAGTTCAGATGTTATTTCTTCCAAAAAACCTTCTCTGAACAACCATCAACACATGGAGGACCTGGTTAGTTGCTCTTCCCATGCCCAGTGGCATCCTATGTTTACCTCTATGATAGCACTTACTTGTTTTGTCTTTTTACTTCTTGCTTTTCCAACTAGAATGTTATCTCTTTGAGGGCAGGTTTGAGGTCATGGATTATAGGTCTTTGTTGAGTCAATCCTATATAAATATGACCTTTTTTTTTTTTCCTTCCCAGTTCTGTGGTATGGAGGGTATTCAGAGGAAAATATCAGGCCTTTGAAATCTAAATGCTTCATTTTACAAAAAGCTGTCAATCTGGAGAAAGGAGAGAAAGGGAGACCTTTTAGCTGCCCTTGACTATTAAAAAAGCTGTTTTGCAGAAAAGAAAATAGACTTTTCTACCTCACAGAGGTAGACTTTGGATCACAGCTTTCTAGTAATACAGTGGAATAGAATTGTCAAAAAATAGAGGATACACACACACACACACACACACACACACGAAACAGAGGTCAGACCTCAAAGTCCTCTTCTAACGCAGATTCTCTGGTTCTCTGTTATTCCCACACACAAGTTTCAGCGGTTCCCATCTGAAGAGTGGAGTTCCCTAAAATCTAGTGTTTACCATATGCCAAGCACAACTTTACTTACATTTTTAAATCTTAAACAGTAGGTGATAGTATTTACATTACATGTGAGAAAACAGAGGTGAAACCCTTTGCTCTGGGGTCACATAGCTAGTGACAAAGCCAGAATACAGTCTGTCTGCTTGGCTCAGAGCCCTTAACTCGAAACACCTACCTACCTTTTGATTTTATATTACTTTCAGCAAACTGGACTGCATTTCAGACAAATTTTTTTTTGCCTAGAATTTCTGTCTTCTCCTACTCTTTCCCATTTAACACTAACTAAGTCCAAATATTTAGACTGCTTAAAGATCAACCTCATTGGTGGATGAACGTGGAGTCTGTCATACAGAATGAAGCAAGTCAGAAAGAGAAAAACAAATACCATATGCTAACGCATATATATGGAATCTTAAAAAAAAAAATGGTTCTCATGAACCTAGTGGCAGGACAGAAATAAAGACACAGGCATAGAGAAGGAGTTGAGGACAGGGGGAGGGGGAAGGGTAAGCTGGGATGAAGTGAGAGAGTAACATTGACATATATACTCTACCAAATGTAAAATAGATAGCTAGTGGGAAGCAGCTGCATAACACAGGGAGATCAGCTTGGTGCTTTGTGACCACCTAGAGGGGTGGGATAGGGAGTGTGGAAGTGAGATGTAAGAGGGAGGGATATGGGGATATATGTATGCGTATAGCTGATTCACTTTGTTATACAGCAGAAACTAACACAACATTGTAGAGCAATTATACTCCAATAAAGATGTTAAAAAAAAAAGATCAACCTCATTAGGAAATTATTTCTGTCTTCTAAAAAATTATATTAGCACTTAGCTGTAAGATTTTGTCTTTAATATTATGCAACTTCATTATGATGTGTCTGTGGATTTGATTTTACTTATGTCAATTAGCTTCTGCTGTGAAATAAACCACCCCAGAACTTCACGGCTTAAAACAACAATCATTTATTTAGCTCATAGTTCTGTTGTTTTGTACTTTGGGCTGGGCCCAGCTGGTTGATTCTTCCCTATTCCACGTGGTCTTGGTTCCACAGGGGCTCCAGGTGCACCTGTAGTCAGCTACATGTAGGCAGTCAGGTCAGGTAAGCAGCTCTGCTTCTCTGTTGGCTGTGGCGGTGGCAGGTGACTGGGCTACATATCTCATCATCCAATAGGTCGGCCTGGACCCATTTATGTGGCAAAGCCGCGTTCCAGCAGATAAAGACAAATTCTCTTAAAGTCCAGGCTTGGAACGGGCACTTTACTTCTATTTCTGTTGCCTTCTATTGGTCAAAACAAGCCCAGATGAAAGGGTAGGGAGATAAACTCTACCTCTTGATGTGAAGAGTTACGAAGTCACATTGCAAAGGGGCATAGATACAGAGAGTAAAAGAAATGTGGGCAATTTTTGTGAGTGCTTTACCGCAGGGGTCCCCAGCTCCCCGGGCGTTGGACCGCTAATGGTCCGAGGCCTGTTAGGAACCGGACCGCAGAAGAGAGCAGGAGGTGAGCTACGGGCGAAGCTTCATCTGCCGCCCCCCATCGCGCCCTGTTGCTCGCGTTACCGCCTAAACCACCGCCACGCCCCAGCACACCCCTTCCATGGGAAAATTGTCTTACACGAAACCCATCCCTGGTGCCAAAAAGGTTGGGGACCACTGCTCTACCGCATTATCCTGGTTAAGCTTCATTTTGTTTCTTGAATCAATAGATTGGATCATTCATTGTTCTGAGAGGTTTTTCAGCTCTCTGTCTCTTTATTTTATTTTATTATTATCATTATTTTTTGCGGTACGCGGGCCTCTCACTGTTGTGGCCTCTCCCGTTGCGGAGCACAGGCTCCAGACGCGCAGGCTCAGCGGCCATGGCTCACGGGCCCAGCCGCTCCGTGGCATGTGGGATCTTCCCGGACCGGGGCACGAACCCGTGTCCCCTGCATTGGCAGGCGGACTCTCAACCACTGCGCCACCAGGGAAGCCCTCTCTCTCTTTAAATGTTGCCTCTGTCCCGTTCTATTTTCTCCTCTAGGACCCCGGTGAAACCCTTGTTAGGCCTTGTTACTGTGATCTCTGTGCCCCTTACTCTGTCTTCTGTACTTTCCATTTCAAGGCTTTATTCTGGATAAGTTCTCCTACTTTCTAGTTTGTCAGTTCGTCAAATGTGTCTAGTCTGCTGTTAAGAACTATACCGAATTTCAAGTTTTGGTAATATTATTTTTTTAGTTCTATAGCTTTTGGTGATTCTTTTTTCAAATGACACTATTTATGGTTCCTAGTTTCTTCTGAAACTTTTTAAAAGCCTGTCTTTGTCTCTATAAACTTGATAAACATAAGTGTATTTCAGTCTTTCTGGTAACTCCAGTATCTGGAGTCCCTGTTTGTTGCTATTGACTGTTGTTTTTGTTGATTCCAGCTAATATTGTCATATGCATTGTAATGTTTGTTGTTGGGCAAATTATTTTTAAATGTATTTTTAGAAACAACTGGAGGTCTATGATGTTACCTTTCAGGGAGGATTTTCATTTCCTTCTGCTGGACACCTGACAGGGTTAGGAGTCTAGGACCAAGGCTTCCAAATTTATTGGTCTTCTTACTAGATGATCCTTGGAATAGAATTTGTAACCATACTTCCAAAGTGCTAGTGTTTCCTCCTTTGGCAGGTAAAACACCTTAGATTCCTGTTCTAGTTTTATCAGTCAGCCGGAAATTGCAACTTGCCTTTCAGCGTTTCCAGCAGATGGCAGAACACCCCAGAGCCGAGCCCACGTTTCCCCAGCAGAAGTGCCTCTCTGCCTCTCAGCTCTCTTTCCACAGTCAGCAAATGCTTTCAGACAGAAGCTATGGTTCACGTCTTTGCGCTTAGTCTCTTCTCTTTACTCTTTCTTGTTAGGATTTTATGCTATTAAATTTTTTTTTCATTTCTTTCAACTTTTTATGTTGTTTTGGAGGCAGGATTGGTCCAATATCTATTTCACCATTACTGTAAATGAAAGATCTGTGAATACATACCTGTTACACTAATTTTGAGCATAGATAGTGACTGTGGTACAGTTTCATGTGTGTATGTTTTATTTACCTCCAGATTCCTTTCAAGTGCCAAGAAATCAGAAATTGACATACTGAACTTTAGTTCACATACATAATAGATGCTCGATAAACATTTGTTGATGATGATGAATGGATAGGACAGATGCAAGGTGCCTTAATTAATTTTCTTTTCCTCCATAATATTTTTTAATGAAAAAATATTTGGTACTTGTCATGTTCTCCACATCAGTCACTTTTCCATCTTTTCCATTGATTTCGATTGGGTTTTTTTTGGTGTTCTCAATACAGATTAGTTGATTGATAAGTTATGAAACTATATATTAAAACTTAAATTATTAGCAAATTTTTATAAGTGAGACATTGTCATCTTTGAATACAATATTGTTAGTATAAAATAACTGGGATTTAAGAGTAAGAGGGTTTAGCCATAGTCTTCATTTAATTGATTATGAAAAACAAGCCAATCTAAAAAAGAAATAATAAACCATTGAATGCATTAACTAGAACCATGCCCAGGGCAATAAAGTAAATGTATAAATATAGATATGGAAAATATATGTGTATATGTGTGTGTATATATGTATATATGTAGAGAGAGAGAATGAGTTTTGTTTGTTTGTTTGTTTGTTTTTTGGCTGTGCTGCACAGTTTGTGGGATCTCAGTTCCCCAACCAGGGATTGAACCCAGACCACGGCAGTGAAAGTGCCGAATCCTAACCACTAGGCCACTGGTAAACTCCCGAGAATGAGATATTTAATGTAAATAAATTTTTAGATAACTGTATTTCATCCCTCAAATGTAGCAATTTTTAAAATGACAATTTTTTATTTTAAAGCTTGATAATATTTCCTTGCTTTCTTGGAATTGTTTGTCTCTTCTTTTGGAGTTAGCTATCTTTTCTGTCAGTATACCTGCTTTCTTACAAAGCCAGTTTGATTCACTGCTGTTTTGAGAAATCGTATCACCAAGGCTGTGAGAATATTGTATGAGCTGATAATCAGTAAGTGCTGAATTGTAGCTTGAGGATGTGCCCTACAAATACAAGTCATAAATTTGAATGAGTTTGGGCCCTATTTGTATATTTTTATTTCTTGACTATATTCTGGATAATGCTCTGAATAATTGCAGTTAGGTTTGTAAAATGCATTAACTAATGCTTTTAATAAATATGATTGAGACAAACAAAAGGGATAAAGAATAGTATAATACCAATGTACCAACCACTCAATTTAAGAAATAAAATGTTACTAATACTGCTGTATCTTTGAGTCCTTATGATGTGCCAAGTACTCTTCTAGGCATTGTATATATAGCAGTAAACAAAACAAAAATCCCTGTCCTCATGGAGTTTACAGTTTAGGAAGGAACTTACCATTGCCTAATAATTGTTAGTGTTCTTGTTTTCAACATTTCCCCATCATTTGTAGAATGCTGATTTGAATTTTGTGTGATCATGAATATTAGGCAGAATGATTATTGGCACTGAATGCAAATAAAGAACTAATAGGCACTGAAGGATGTTCTGTCAGGACATTTGGCTTGGTGGAATGTATTTTGTACACACTAAGACATTTAATCTCTAATATTTGGCTTCATTGCATAGTCAACATTATCCTATTGTTGGTAAACCTAGATTCATTAGGTCCATAAGGAAAAGGTTCTGGGCCACCTCAAGTAATGTTCTTGTGTGTACTTTAGTGAAGGAAATATAGCTTATCTTTTGAGGCAGTTGAAAGAAAATTGGCGTTTCAAATTGAAAACTAAAACTTGAAAGAAAAAGTGGCACCTTAGATCCATTAACTTAGATTTACTCTTTTTGTGATAGACATGAAAACTTAAACAATGGTGATATACTGTAAAGAAAACTAGAAGAAGTAGCACTTTGAATTACAGATTTAGTGTTTCTTGTGATGAACTAGAAACTTAAAAAAAAAAATCTGTAGTGTACTATGAAGAAAACCACAAACTAGAGCACTATGAAAGAAACCAGGGTAAATAGAAATGAACAAACATCAAAGTTAGCATTAGACTATATAATGCCTTCTAAACACTTTTTCTTTTTGGTATTGTTTTAGGTATCGTCAGATACTGGAAAAAGCCATTCAGTTATCTGGGGCAGAACAGCTAGAAGCTTTGAAAGCTTTTGTGGAAGCAAGTAAGTGGAATGAAAATTCTGTGTTTGCCTTGTATTACTGAGTTAGGACTTAAAAGCTTGCTCAAGCCTTGTTTTATATCAGATTGTCAGTATAATTTACATTGAGATTAAATTAAATATGCATTGAGCTTGATTGATTTTAGAATTTAAACTACTTACAACTTAATATTTGATTGTTTTTCAATTGTTTTTCAATGTGAAGCCATTGTTACATTTACAATTAAGGTTTTGTATAGTTATTGATAAAGCAACTGATGGAGAGACAATATAGCAAATGATAAAAAAGAATAGTCTGGATTCAAATCCTGGTCTGCTATTTTATTAGCTATGTGATCTTGGGTAGGTTATATAACCTCTTTGTGCCTCCTTTTCCTTGTCTATAAAATGGGGATATGATACCTACCCTGTAGAATTGTTGGGAGATTAAATGAGTTAATATCCATAATGGAGTGCTTAGAATAGTACCTGGCACATGATAAGTACTAGATAAGTGTTAGCTGTTGTTAATGTTAAGAACATTTCTTTTGAATGGGAACTAGAAATTTCCATTCTTTAAGACACTCTTCCCCATTCCCTGACTTCTAACATATCCAGTTATCTGGAAAATTACTCAACATTCAGGCTGGAATTTATCCTGAGTTCACAATATTAATGATACTTGATAGTGCTTTACAGTTTACAGTGTGCTTTCATACACATTATCCATCACACAGGCTCCTTTTCATAACCTGTGACTAACAATGCAGGTATAGATAGCCCTATATAATATATTATAAAATGAGTCTCAGGATTAAGTGACTTTTTCCCCCAAGGACATTCAGTTAGTCAGTGACAGAGCCCAGACTAGAAACTAAGTTTCCTTACTTATAGTTCTTATTTAATTATATTTCCCTGAGAAGTCCTAGTTTGTATAGTAATTTCTAACAGTTATAGGTACCTAATGGCACTTGTAATGAAACTGTTCTCAGTCACATCCAGTATCATCCAATTCCAATTAATATACTATAAACTGATTAGTTACAAGGCCTGTCAGTTACTGCCTCAAAAAATTGGGGCCTGCAATGTGAGACAAACTGGCAATGGTTTCAGAAAAACTCTTTTAGTGGCTTTTTTTTTTTTTAAGACCGTTGCACTTAGTAGCAAAAGAGTAGTGCTTTTTATAAACTTTGATCTTTATATAAACTTTGAATCCAATGAACCACCAAAAAAAAAAAGCAGTGGGGCTTCCCTGGTGGCGCAGTGGTTGAGAGTCCGCCTGCCGATGCAGGGGACACAGGTTCGTGCCCCGGTCTGGGAAGATCCCACATGCCACAGAGCAGCTGGGCCCGTGAGCCATGGCCGCTGAGCCTGTGCGTCCGGAGCCTGTGCTCTGCAACGGAAGAGGCCACAACAGTGAGAGGCCCGCGTACCGCATAAAAAAAAAAAAAAAAAAAAAAAGCAGTCTACTGTTAAAATCATTTGCATCAACTGAATAGTTTTGAACTGTCATTTATTTCCCCAGTAACTACTGATTTAAACTTATCTAAGGAGTGGTTCACAAGCATGATGCATCTTTTTAAAATGTAATAATAGTGATAATAATAACTAACATTTGCTGAGTGCTATGTGCCAGGTATTGTTTAAAGCACTTTATGTATATTGCATTTAAGCTTCACAGCAACCTTATCCACATGTTACAGAAGAGGAAAGAGAAGCACAGAGAAGTTAAGTCTCTTGCCTGAGGGCATGTAATCAGGAGGATTTGGAAGCAGTGTGGCTCCAGAGTTTTCATCCTTAATCATATATAATAATACCTCATAAATGTTTATAAACAGTGTCATAAAATATGTCTATGCATCTAGTGCTGACCTAAGTTCTTATTTGTTGTTTTTATCAGGAAAGTACAAGTGGCAGTGACTGTCACTACTCGCTTTATTTAAACTTCGTGAAAATTATTTCACTGTTTCTTCTTTAACTCTTTTTTTGTAGCTAGGTAGAATGTAAGAACATAAATAAAAATATTAAGTGTTTCTGTGCCTTCACTTTGTAGAAGAATAAAGAAGAGAAAAGAATGACTTAAAATTCTCAACTGTTAAAACTTTTTCCCAGCCATTTCTGTTTCTTAGAAAAGTTGTGGTATTTTTACTGTTTTGTTGTAGTTGTTATGTGATCAGATAATTCAGCATAAGGAAAACTGGTTCTATAATATAAGGTCACAGGGGTGTGGAGATCCCTAAATAATGCTTTGAAGAGTACACTGGTATATATTATTTTTAGTATTAATTTTAGGTGAAAATTGATTGCTTAATGAAAACATAAATTACTCATGTTTTCTGATCCCTTACTTTTTTTAACAAGTGGTAAATGAGAATGTCAGCCTCGTGATCTCTCGCCAGTTGCTGACTGATTTCTGCACACATCTCCCTAACCTACCTGATAGCACAGCCAAAGAAATCTATCATTTCACCTTGGAAAAGATCCAGCCTAGAGTCATTTCATTTGAGGAGCAGGTAAAAACCTAGAGCAGTGGTTTTTGTTTTGTTTTTAGGACTCTGTTTATTATGTGTTTCTTTTTTTTAAAAATTGAGATATAATTGATGTACAATATTATTATAAGTTGCAGGTGTACAACATAGTGATTCACGATTTTTAAAGGTTATATTCCATTTATAGTTATTATAAAATATTGGCTATTAGAGTGGCGATTTTTAAACTTGAGATAGCAGCAGTTATTTTGAGAGATACTATTAAATTTTTAAAGTAGGTAATCATTCAACTTCATTTTTACAAAACAGTGTGCCAAACAGCGTGCCAAACAGCATTTTACAATGTAAGATCAAATAAATATCATGATGTTTTAAGTCCAGCTGACATTTGCTCATATACTATAATTTGGTTTTATGAACCAAATATTACTCTTTAGATAATTTTTTTTAAAATTTTATGTATTTATTTATTTATTTTATTTTTGGCTGCGTTGGGTCTTCGTTGCTGCGCACGGGCTTTCTCTAGTTGCGGCAAGCGGGACCTACTCTTCACTGCGATGCGCGGGCTTCTCATTGCGGTGGCTTCTTTTGTTGCGGAGCACAGGCTCTAGGCGCACGGGCTTCAGTAGTTGTGGCGTGCGGGCTCTAGAGCGCAGGCTTCAGTAGTTGTGGCGCACAGGCTTAGTTGCTCCGCAGCATGTGGGATCTTCCTGGACCAGGGCTCAAACCCATGTCCTCTGCATTGGCAGGCGGATTCTTAACCACTGTGCCACCAGGGAAGTCCCTAGATAATTTTTAAAAATCAGTAAAATTGTTGATTAGGCTAAGAACATAGGAGAACTCCAGCATTATATATGCAGTGACACAAAAGCAAAACTTAATATTTCAACTAAATTATTGCCATAATCCACATTGCAGAATGTGTTAGTTCACTCTTTTGATATTCTGTAAATGCAAAAGTCATTAAAAATTTGGGTAGTCTAGGTAAACTTTTACTATTTACTTGCCTGCATAATATGTTGAATGAGAGCATTGTCACAATAGATTATCATCTATTTATTTTAACTAGTTTACTAATATCAGCGGAAGTAATTTAACATGTATACCTCCTATTCCAGGTTGCTTCCATAAGACAGCATCTTGCATCCATATATGAAAAAGAAGAAGATTGGAGAAATGCAGCCCAAGTGTTGGTGGGAATTCCTTTGGAAACAGGACAAAAGTATAGTAAATAGTGGATATAAAACATGTATAATTGTTCACTTACTTTTTTTTTTTACATTCTGTTACAGGAAACAGATAATGAACAATTTAATAAATAAATAAGTAAAATTTGTACTATTTTAGAAGGTGATAAGTGCTATGGGGAAAAGGGGCAAAGTGGGGACAGGATGTATTATTAAATAGGGTGATTAGAGTGGTAGGGTAGTCCTGATATCACCTTTTCAAACACTTGAAGGAGGTAACAGAGTAGCTATGAGCTGCCTGAGGGAAGAGTTATCAGTAGATCCTCTTAGAGAGGATGGCTAGTGCAAAGGCCCTAAGACTGGAACATGCTTGGAGTGTTTTAAGAAGAGCAGGGAGACCACTGTGGGTGGAGTGAGCAAAGGGGAGTGTGATAGAGGGTGAGATCAGAGAGTATTGGGTACCAGATTACATGGGGTCTTGTAAGCCATTGTAAGGCCTTTGGCTTTTTTTCTAAGTAAAACAGTGGGGAGCCATTGGAGGATTTTGTACAGAGGACTGACATGATCTGATCATGTTAGATCATTCTAACTACCGAGTTGAGAGTAAACTGTAGACATGCGATGATAGAAGTAGGGACATTAGTTAAGAGGCTTATGAGCTACTGCAGGTGAGATGGAGATTGTGAGAAATGTTGGACCCTTGATGTGTTTTTAAGGTAAAGCTAAGGGTTTCTCGACAACTTGGACATGGAGTACAAGAAAAAGAGCCAAGATAAGTCCTGAGTTTCGGTCTGAATAACTGGAAAAATAAAGTTGCCATCTACTGAGTGGTAAAGAACAGATTTTGAGGGAAGATCAAGAGTTCTGTTTTGGACATGTGATAACCAAGTGGAAATATCTAGTAGGGAGTTGAATATATTAGTCTGAAGTTTAGGAGAGAGGTCTGGACTAGAGATGTACATTTGGGAGTCATTGATATATAAATGGAACTTAAAGCCTTTAGATTGGACAAGATCTCCAAGGGAGGGCATATAGGTAGAGAAGAGCACTGAGTACTGAGCACTCTGACATTAAGAGGTCAGGGGCAGGAGGAAGATACAGCAAGTGAGGATTGTCCATTGAGGTAAGAGGAAAACCAGAAGAATGTGGAGTGTGATATCTCAGAAGCCAAATGAGGAAAATGTATCAAGAAGGAGCAAGGGATCAACATGGTGTTGATGGTCAAGTAAGATGAGGAGTTGAAGGTGAACC